TTTTCTTCGTCTATAGTTTCATCACTAGTTGGGGAAAATTTTAGAAAAAAAAAATAAAAAGCTCCTAAAAGAGTTAATTAATTTAAGTTAGGTCTCAAATGCTAAATTTCAAGAATTTGCAACTCAATCTCTTAATTTTGTAATTCTATTGTGATGAATTTGCAACTTGTATTCTCAATTTTAACAAAAAAATAATTTTTTATTCTTCAATCATGTTAAAATTTAAAAAACAAGTTACAAATTCATTATAATACAATTATAAAATTGAGAGATTGAGTTGTAAATTTTTGAAGTTTGACATTTAAAATTTAACTTTAATTAATTAATTTTTTTCGGACCTCTTTGTTATTCTCCCAAACTTTGAAGGTTTCAAATTCATTATTATGAGCCAAGGGCCTATGTTAATGCAGGCTAAAGTTTTTTTGGGAATGGTCATGAACCTTCACCTGCCAAAATAATCGATGATCATCTTGAAGCAATCTTAATTAATGTGGTTATCGTCTTAAAACTCTTCTACTGTACATACGATTCCTTTGATGATCACTTGATTTGTTTTCTTTGTGGCAAGATTGGCATTCATTGGCAACTTTTCTATTTGTGTCAAGTGAAAAACTAATACGAACATTACAAGTTAGCAAGAATTCTTAACAGAACCTATCACCAAAGACCCCAAAAACCCCACTTAGTGTCGACATTTTTCAAAACCTCTGTAGTGGGGGGAAAAAGATTAGCAGAACCTAGATCTTATAATCAGTCATCATCAAAAATTACAAACAAAACAAAGTGGAGAAACTCTCATCACAAGGAACACATAATTATTGGCCCTTTACAAATTGGAATCATACTCAATCGCCATCCCTTGTTTGCTTACTTGTCTTTTCTATCATCACATCTTCATTGTTTACCAGCACCTTCATCCTCCTTCAACTAAAGGGCAATTTCATCATTTTCTACACTATTAATTTGTTGAATGGGGACTTTTGAGCAATTTCCCCTTTTTTGATAATAGAAAGTCAAAAACCATAATTTTTCTCTAATTATCAAATAAGTTGGGAAATTTTTTTTTGTTGGAGGTTTTGTTTTTTTTTTTTTTAAATCATTTGTAGAGACAAATTAGTCAACACGGGAAAAACACTACTTCTTTGTGGGGTCTTGATCAGATCCTTATGGGGTCCCTTTTCCTCCTCGTAGGCTTCAATTCTCCACAGAAAAAAGTGAAAGCCTAGATATATCCCTTCTTCACCGGAATAGGTGACTATGAAAGACGAAACTTCAAGCAAAGATGGTGGTCTAACTTGCCTTCTCCCTTGATCTACTTCACAAGTTCATATATTTCGTCATTTTCATGCTTTAGGTCAGACACGCCATTCGTAAAATCTTTTGGTAACAATTAGATATTAATTTCATGCTAAAATTTTATTAACCGGAATTTCCTAGTTGACTGTATAAAGTTTGTATAGCAAAAGAAATATAATTAAAGAAAAATGAAACTTTTAACCTTTTAAATTTGTCTCAATTATCAATTTAAAAGGTGTCATTTAAATGGAAGGTGGGTGGTACCAAGAAAAATGGTTAAAAGAAAACGCATCATTTAAATGGAAGGTGGTTAATGCTTAAATAATAACTGACGGGTATTTCAAATATCAATCATTTATTTTTTTATAATATATGACTAGTCTTTAAACACCAGTCATGTAAAGCTCTAAATTTTGGAAAATCTTTTAATTAAAATTAACACCTATCATTTATGGGAATAATGTTATATGACGGGTGTGGAACATTTCAACTTCTAGCATTTTAAAATATTAAAAAAATTATACTTTACAAGATAGATGTTTCATTTATGGGGAAAACGTTATATGATGGGTCTAGAAACCCCCATTATATAATGTTTTAATTTTTAGCATTTTAAAGTATTAAAAAAATATATGCTTTATATGATGAGTGTTTGAAATGCCTGTTATACAAAGTCATTCACACATATGATGGGCATAGCAAAATAAATGACAGGCATTCAAATGTTTGTTATTTATTTGTGTTTAAATAATTAGATTTTCTTTTATTTTTTAGATTTGTGCCTGATAGTCTTTCTCTTATCTCTTCTTCACTTGCATACAAAATCATAAGAGAACTCACAAAGTCCCTTCATTATTGCCATCATCAACCACCATCCACTGCTCCATCATGATTCCATCGCCATCATTCACCATCGTCGTGATTTTGTCATTGCATTTCAACCTTTTTTTCATCCAAGGTGATTTTTTTTTTATGTTTTCTACTTTTTTTTTCAATGTCCTTTTTTTTCTTGGTCATGATAATGATTTATTAATTGTTTTTAAATTTTTTATTGATTGATTTTACTTGTTTAACATTTTATTCATTGTTGCTTGATTTTGGTATTGTGTCTTGTTAAAAATTGATAATATTTAATGTGTTCGTGAATTGAAAATGCTAATAGAGCTTATGGAAAGCCTTAAAATGATTATGAGGATAAAAATGAGTAATCAAAATAGATATTCATAATGACTATTTTTTTATGAATTTTGAACAAATTATTTGAATAATTTTTAATTTAAAGTATATCCCTTATTTGATTTGGGTAGTTTTATTGTTAGAAACTATATATTAAAATGTACTAGTATGCTAAATTTCATTACAAATGAAGTTGATTTGAGTGACCAAAATTGACTTGCATTTTCTTTAAAAATCATAGTTATTTTGTAAAGATTTTGACATTTGATAATGAATGATATCTTCTTGACATGAGATTGCTAATGTAGGGTATGAGTAACTTTGGAATGATCAATGACACCCAAAAAAAAAAATATATTGGAATTGATGTTTATGGTGTTTTTCTTTTTTCTTTGTTTTCTAATTAATTTTGTGAGATAATTTTATAATTTAAATTTTATGTCTTATTTGATTGGGATAATTTTATTGTTGAAAGCTATATATTAAAATGTAATAGTGAGCCAAATTACATGATAATTAGAGTTGATTTGAGTAATTATAATTTACTTTTGATCACTTTGAAAATGCTATTTTGTGAATTTTGTTGCTGTTAGGATTGTGTATTGTTAAATTTGGTTTGTTGGTGGAAGCATAACTAGTATTTAGAGTTTTACTAGTTTTTATTACTTGATATTAGTTGGTAAATTAGTTTACTTTGGAAAACTCTATACATTGATTACTTGATGTATTATAATAGGATATTTGTTTTCATTTTGTATTGATTATAGGAAAAATGACAATTAGCGACCTTGTAAGAATATTAATGATAATTACATACCTTAAATTATTGGAATCCTAATAACAAACCATGGTCCTTACTTTCGATAAATTGTCTTTCATTAATTTATTTGAGATTCACAACAGACTTCAATAAATTCCCGACTATATAAAGATTTCTAACTATCTTTTGTCAAATTTCCAAAAGATAGCAAAAAATTATAAGTAATTGGCTTGTAATTCACAACTAACTTTTGTAAATTTTCAATTGAAGTTACAAATAATCCCAAATACATTTAGTAAATTTTTCAAATAATTTATCTATATATTGAAAGAAAAAAAGCATAAATAATTAGCTTGCAATTCACAACTGACTCTTGTAAATTTTTAATTAATGTTACAAATAATCTTAAGTATATTTATTTACCTGATTTTTTAAGTGGTTTATCTGTATATTGACAGCAAAAAATTGATACTCTCAACTAACTTTTATAAATTTTCAAATGATGTTACAAATAGTTCTAAGCGTAGTTAGCATATTTCACAACTAAGTATTCACATTTTTTTATTACAAGTAAGGACTATGCTCTTTTATAAGGATTTCAATAATTTAATGTCTGTAATTATCATTGATGTTCTTACAAGGTCCCTAATTATCATTTCTCTTTGATCATAACCCAATTCAATTGGTATTCATACATGGAAATGTTCAATTTGTTATTCAGTTATTATTTTTTATAGCTGTTATCAGAGGCTGTTATAAATAACAATCTTCTTTACAAAAAAAAAAAAATGATTATTTACTTAACCGTTCTTTATTCTTATCAATAAATGATAGCTATTTAATTTAATCATTATTTATACTTTAGTACCAAAATTTCTAAAGAATAAATGATGGATAAATTAAATGCCTATCATTTATTGTGACTATAAATGATGGGTAATTAATGTACCTGCTATTCTGAGAATAAATGACTTACAAAAGGGATAAAAAAGTATACTTTTAAACGACGGGTTATCTAATTATCATTTATAAATGATGGGGAAAGATTGAGTCATATTTTTTAAGAATTCTTTATTTTTTTAGGAGAAAAGAAAATTGAGTCATATTCACTAATTGTTGATTTTTGCAAAATTGGGGAAAGATTTGTCCGCTTAATCAAACAGTTAATATCTAAATGTGCACTTAATATATCATTATATCATTAATATCAATGGATAAAATTTTGTGAAAATGCTTATTTAATTTGATGCACTTGACTTATGAATTATATATTATTAAATTGATATTTCTGACAAAGTATTGGGTTTTGACTTTTGACATTGTCATTTTATAACTTCAATTTTTTTTTGAAATCAAAATTAAATGAATGTTGACCGATGCAAGATACTATTGTTGATAGAAAATTTGAGATAATTTAGATTAATCATATTTAAAACAAGATGGAAAGGTCTTTATAATAGACTCAAAACACTATCAAGTTTAACAAACATGATTATGAATCATATATTTAGAATTAGTCTTTCACAATATAAGAACTAAGGTTTAAATCACCATTAAGAGAAGTATTGCGTTAAAAAAACATGATTATATTAGCTTTAATAAATTAGTACAAGTTTGGTTTTGTAGGATCTCTCCTTCAACTTGTTTACCTCTGTTCTTTGAAACTAAAAACAAAGCTAAACCTAGAAAAATATCGCAAGACTCTCGCTTATCGGTGTGTAAATTAAGCAAATGATGCATGATCAGTGAAGAGGTCTAAGAGAGGAAATCATCCATGAACTCTCATCCAAAAATATCTTAAAAAGCACACACATTCTCAACTGACAAGCGTTCGTTTTCTTATCAATGTCATTCAAACAATTTGTCCAGAGTTCCTTCTGATTCAAATATAAAGGTCACCACCTCAAATTGGAATTCAGTAAGTTTTCATCTCTGAATATTTTACAACTTACAATCTGGAACTGAGAATCCACACAAACCTAGTCTTCAATTTCTACATCATCAACCCAAGGAAAATGACAAGGACGATTCCAATCTCCCTCAACCTGCATAACTTCAAAGAGTAATAATATATACACTAATCAAAGATTTTATTTTGAGTTATTATTTCTTCTCTAGCTAATCTACACTATATACAGTAGCTAGCATCACTTACTGTATTTACTTTAAAGCGGTGTGACTGAGGAGCAGAACCAAAATAAGCTTGTCTTGTAAAAGATGATTTCTTGAAACAATAAACACAAACAAAGTAAGCAACACAGCTCCCTAGTCTTTTCCATTTGCATCCCAAATATCTTCTACTATAGACGTTATAACTCTGTGCGTGGATATAGTCAACTATGTTGCATTATAGCCCCACATTGAACTAATAAACGATGTTAAGTTTGGCTCAAATCATGAAAACAAAGGGACATTTAATAGGTCACTTTAAGATTGAAGGCAATAGAAAGAGAGCTAGAGAGAGAGAGAGTATAAACAACTATCTGCGTAAACATGACCATTAATGATTATGCATTACTAAAGTAGAAGTAGACATTAATTATATACCTACCGATAACAGTGCAAAATTTCTCATTTGTAATAACTCATCAGGCTGCCTTCTTGAAGGCCTTCTCCAGCATAGCTCTAAGATTATTATCCAAAAGATAATCAATAGTCACATTATCCGGTGCATATATATCAGCATGAGAGAAACCTTCATCTGAGAGCAGTCGAATATTGAAACTTGTTCCAAGGAAGGGAATTTCAAATTGCAAGTCCCCGGGTAAAAGCTATCAAGTCTTGGAAGATCGCTGATAAACAATTCTTTGAGATTCTCAAATGTTATCACGTCTTGACCCGATTCATCTCCTTTAGCAACTATTTGTTGCATTGATTCACAATTCCATACGGACAACTTTTTGAGTAGAGATAACTTTTTGCAGTTGAAGATGTGAACAAATATACTAATCTATCACATTTCGTTATAGTCAGACCCCTTAGCTTTGTGACAGAGAACTCAATTTTAAGGTCTTTAGTTGTGAAAAGAACACAACAAAATAGCCATCCAGATCAGAACTTTTAGAGGTGAATAACTCTTCGAAGTTACTACGAGACAATCCAAGCTCTTCTAAATGGGGCAACGATTCCTTCTGGAAAAATCCAAATGGAAATTCATGTGAATCATCATTAAAGAATTTCAATTTGAGAGATTTCACTCTCTGAAGAAGCTTTGCCTAGAATGGAGATTGCCAAATTTGCATGATGTGTTTCTTGCTGAGTGACAATTGCTTTAGGTTGAGAAAAACCTAGAATCAACAAAGTCATTTTTAGAATATGGCAACAATAAGGGGTTAAATTTAAAATATTTAACTACCTCAAAATAGGACTCTGTAGTATATTTGTAATCTAGCTGACAAGTGAATTTAAAATTATTGTATCAAGGTGATTGATGTAGATCATGATTATTGAAGATATTTTAAAAAATGTGATAATAGCAAAATTACCTTTTCTAATGTGAGATAGTGGCTTTTGTGTCTTTTGCAAAATAATCTTGACCTAATGGTGGGAAATTCTTCAGCTGACCACATTGATAGACAAGTAATTTTTCTAACTTGGGCCATTCCAAATTGTCTACTGATGGATGGATGCACTTGAGCTTTGGCAATGGATGGAGTTTCAGCATGGTTAGGCCAGCAAAGATAATTGAGTTTGAAGTTGCTCCTCCTGAGATTGTTTCATACCCGGCTACAATTTCTACTAATTGTTCACAATTTTTCACTTTTAGTTCCCTGAGGCTTTCAAGTTTGCCTTGGGCCATTGATGCTGGAAACAAGCTTTTGAGGCCACTGCACCCATCAATACACAGTTCCTGCAAACATTGGAAGCTGAGAATTTGATTAGGATCCTCGTTCCAAACATGTTCCAGATTGGGTAATTGTTCCAACGTCAATGTTTCCAGTGCAAAGGAGAAAGGCGTGGACATGGGACCCACATCAACTATTGCCTTGACAGCGTTGCAATCTCGTACTGTTAACCATTTCAAGCTACAGAGGAAGGGAACCAAGTGAGAGGGAATTGCATGTGTCAAAGATTGGCAACCATCCACTGTCAGATCCGTCAAGTTACAAAAGCCTCTCTATCTGGGACTGGCACAACACACTGCCATACTTCCAGTAGCTCCGGGTTATCTCAAAGCTCCAGATATTCGTCTTGTGCACGGTTTGCAAGCTGCACAAGCAAAACAATTGAAGCAGTGGAAGTCGACTATTAGTGTAATATGTATATGATTTCTAAAAGGTTCGTTTTGGACATCAACAAATAGCAATATGAGTGAGAGATGAAATTACTTTCTAAGCACTTGAATGACTTGAATCATTATATAATGGCTAATGCCTAATATTATATACAAGTTAATAAACATTTTCTTTTGTTCAAATTCCTTTTGAAATACAGACTCTTTTCTTAAAAAAAATATAGAATTCAGATTTTTTTAAAAAAAAGTATTTTTCTATTATGGAAAAAACCAAAGATAAGGTGAAAGAAAAGGAGGGTCTTTTTTAACCAAAAAGCAACGACTTCATGAGATTTCCGTTCAGCACTCTACTTATTCAAATACCTTAAATAAAAGTATTACATATCAGTTAAAATTAACATTCAAAATACATTATGATTAAAAAAGCCAAAGATCATAAAATTTCAATGAAATTAAATTAAAATGGTAAAAAATTATAAGTATCATGACTGGGAATTTTTAAAAAACATTAAATAGTTATGGAAATCATATAATGATAATTTAATGTATTAATTGGACCTTATATTTTTAGTTTTAAACTTTAATCGATGTGTTGTCTTGACCAGAAGCCTCCGGCCACTTTTGTTGTATATTTAAATTTTGTTCACATTTTCTATATTTTATCTTTTCTTGTTATCTCATTAATTTCTTGTTTTAAAAGTAATTCACAATTTTTGTAAACAACCACATATAATATTTTAAAGAAAAGGAGTATAAATGATTCACAAGTCTTAATTTACTTAAAAATAATAAACTTAAATATATAAAGTTAAGCATCTAATTTCTTTAAAAAACGCCAGTCATAACACAAAGAAATACTTTTATGAAAAATCAACAATTTCTTTATCTCCACCTACAATAAGTTTGGCACAGCTTAGCTTTGATTGTAAGATTGCTGGATAAGAAGTACACAATTATTTTTTAACATAATTATGTAAAAAAAATTAGGAACTTTGAATATTATTTTACTTTTAAAGAAATTCGTGTATCTAAGAAATTCCTTTTTAATTTTTTTTTCTAAATATAAACATACTCTCAAATAATTATTGTTATTGCTTGCTAAAATGATTCGATAAAAAGGAAAATCCACGAACCTCCCCTCTATAATAACTTATTCATAGAAATTTTCATTCCCTTTTTAAAATCAATATAAAATTCTCTAAAATCAAAAATTGTAAAGCACAAACCTCCCCTTACTTTTATAATTCTGTTTTCATCCCGCCAATCACTAATTGACTGCTATATCACATCTTTTTGACCAAAATATCCTAATTTAAAATAAATGTTTATAAAAATCATTTAGGCTACAAAAAATAATTCTAAGGAACATACTTTTAACTTCTTTAAATTATTTTAAAATTATTTAGTTATGAAAACTTGTATTTAGTAATTTCTAAATTTTAAATGCATAAGTTAGATAAAATAATATGTCAAATATATAATAAAATTAATGAATGGATAATTTAATATAATATAAAATAATTTTTTTTGGCCTGAAAGATAAATTAGTCGATACCATTTATTTTTATTTCATTATAAATTAGAGAGAGTGGACAAGGGGCCGACCTACAACGCTTCTGAACATATATATGGTACTACAGCTAAAGTCTCTATCTCACAATTTTCTCTTTGTTCCCCCAGTCCTTTACCCATAACCAAACAAACCCCCACTTCTTATACTTCATTGCATACGAAACAAACACACACACATTAAGTTATATAATTCTTCGGGAGCATGATAAAATATATACACTTTTAATTTATTAAAATATTTTGTTAATTATGACTAACTTCTCGTTCATAAAAACTGATACTGTTATTTATACATACATATTTTTTGGATATATATTAGTTATTACATATTCCTCTTTTTCTTTCAAGTTAATCATTTAAAAAAAAGAAAAACATCAATTATTATAAAAATTGAACATTTGCAATAACATAGACTTTTTTATTTGATTTGATTAAAATATTAATTAAGATTTTTCTACGTATGCCAAATATTTTTAAATTTATATCTTATGCATATTGACTTAATTTCTTCATAAAATTTCAATATTTATCATACTCCCTCCAAATCATCAATCAAATAATTAAATTTACATATTTAATGTATTTTTTAAAACAAATAAGAAAACTTGGATTTTAAATTAAAAATCAGAAAAATATTAATGATAAGAAAGAATTATAGATTAAATTAATAATATATAAGTATAAATATTTGATTTTATTATTATTTTATTTTTAAAAGTTATAAAAAAAATTAAATTAATAATATATATTGATTTCAAAAAGAAAACTTGGCCCTCAAGTTCAAAGGCTGGTTCCGCCCCTTGGAGTGGACAATTATATTATGAGGTCAAAATATATAACAAATTTATCTCCACCTATAGTTACTATTATGAAATATTATTTTATGTCAAAAAAATTCGTGTAACTAAGAAATTCCTTCTTAAACAATTCATTTTTCGTAAATATAAATATACGCTCAAAATATTAATGCTACTGCTAACTAAAAGGATTTGATCAAGAGGAAAATACATGGACCTCCCATCTATAATAGCATAATTGTAGAAATCTTCATTCTATTTTTAAAATTAATATAAACTTCTCTAAGATTATAAGTTTTAAAGTTATTAAAAAAAAATAGAAGTTTTAAAACACAAACCCCCCTTACTTTTAAAATTCTATTTCCATCCACCATATCATTAATTGATGGCTAAATCACATCATTTGGACCAAAATACCCTAATTTAAGTTTTAAATGCATAAATTGGATAATTTTAAACTTGTATCTCAAAAAATCAGTGAATGGAGAATTTAATATTGTAATTGATAAATTAGTTGATACCATTTATGTTTATTTTAATTTAAATTATGGAGAGTGGAAAATTATATTATGAGGTCACAATAATAAATTTAAATCTTTAGCATAATTTTCGTTAATAAAATTAAGCAAGTAAAAATCTTTAACTAAATATTATTAACAATATTAAAATTTTTACTAAAGTTCAGATTTTAAATACAGAAAGAAAATGTCTGACCCAAAAAAAAAAAATACAGAGAGGAAATGCCTGCAATTTTAGCCAAACCGAATGACTATGATAAATTAACTACACCAAGATAAAAGCAGTTTGGAAATAATAGATGTCTTATATCTAACGTGTTACTCCATAACATGATTATAAGAAATGAGAGTTGAGAGAGAACTTACCCGTAAATAAAAAATCCCGACATTTAGATCCCTGCCACTATACTCTGGACGAGAATTTTGGCGCGTATCAAGAGGATTGGCTGAAACTTGTACAAGCTCAGATGCATTTATAACTCCATGGGAAAAAATTTTCATTCTCGGACACTCATGAACAATCATAAGTTCCAATGATGGGAAGTTCAGAGGAGAATTTCCTCTTTGAAAGCTTCCAAGACTATTCAAATCAGAAAGAGACAATGTTTTGAGTTTCCTGAATGTAATTTCATCTGTACCTGATTCATTTCCTCCTTCACCCACTATGTGTTGTATTGATCCACATGAACTTACTGTTAACTCTTCAAGTAAAGTAAAACTTTTTGCCGTTGAGGATGTGAACAAATATTGCAATGCCATGCAATTACTCACATGTAGACCCCTTAAATTTGAGAAAGCCACAGTAGATGGTGCCAAGTTGATCAAACAATCACAATAATCCACTTTCAACATTTCTAGGTGTCTAGGTAGAGGGGTGTGCTCCAGCCCGATTAAATTGAGCTTCGACTGATACATTAATTCTAAAATTTTCAATTCAGCAAAGACCATATCACCATTGCCTTCCATATTTGATATTTCAGAGGTAAATATCTCTTTGAAGTTACCCCCCGACACATGAAGCTTTTCTACATTGGGTAGCAATTCCTTTTGGAAAAATCCATATGGAAATTTATCATAATCAAAACCATAGAATTTCAATTCCAGAAATTTCACTCTTTGAAGAAGCTTTGCCTTAATCGGGGCTTGCCAAGTATGCAAGATGTTTTCCCCGCTAAGTGAAAGATGCTCAAGGTTGGGAAAAACCTAGAATCAAGAAAATTATGATTAGAAATGAACAATATTGACGGGGTAGATTTAATACTAGTAACATTGCTAGTATTAAGGTGATCAGTATACATCAAATTAAGTGAAAAGGAATTAAAAAAAGTTGTGGTGGCAACAATATAATATTACCTTTTCCGCATCAACTGGAAAATGATCTTGACCCAATGCTGGGAAATTCTTTAGCAAACTGCACTGATATACAACCAATTTTTGTAACTTGGGCCATTCCAGAATATTTTGCCCTGAATAGATGCACTTGAGCTTTGGCAATCTGCTTAGCTCCAACATGGTTAAGCTGGGAAATAGAATTGAGTTTGAAGTTGCTCCTCTTGGAGTTGTTTCGTCCTTGCCAACAATTTCTACTAATTCCACACAACGATCCACTTTTAGATTTTCAACATTTACAAGTTTGCCTGGTGCAGCCATTGATGCTGGAAATAAGCTCTTGAGCCTTATACATTCCTTAACAGACACACCTTGCAAAGATTGGAAGCTGGGAAATTCATGAGGGTCCTCATTATTCCAAACATTCTCCAGACTAGAGAGACGTTCTAAGGTCAATGTTTTCAAGAGAAAGGAGAATGGGGAAGACAGGGATCCCACCTCAAATATTGCCTTTACCAAACCACAATTTCGTACTTCTAAAACTTCCAAGTTACAAAGGAAGCCAAGCAAGTGAAAAGGGATCACATTCTTTGATAAGAAATAGACACTATCCACTGTCAAAGTCTTCAACCGATTGAACCCTCCATCAGGGACTGCCACTTTATCAAGCCATATATCTGCAAGCTCAAAATGATCTCTGAGATTCATTTGCTGCACATCACGTGCAAATTGTGCCCGCTGCTCCAACAAAACACGGTGGATACATTAGGCTCTTATATAACACTACTTTGACGTTCATTATAATTATATGTGAAAACAGTAAATAATTAAGGCTGCTTCAAGCTTGTGGGAGAATATATCAACCAATTATCTCTTCTCACTTCCCACTGTTGTCCCCCAACTTTCGCTGAGATTTAAATGAATATTAAACTTGACAAAAAATAAATATTACACAATTTCCCCGTTTTCGTTTTTAACATAAAAATTAATCTTTCCTCAAGAAGAAAATTTAAATACTCAGAAGTCTCAGCTCAATTAAATTCATTTTAACCTAAATCTCAATAAATTTACAAATTAATTACCTTTTGTTTTAACTTAATTTGATAAATTTAAATTGATTTCAACAATTATATGTAATGTTCATAACCAATATTAGCATTTCACTAACTCAGATAATAAGGCTGGGGAGAGGGATGTAAGAAGTCAAGGCTCAAGCCCACCCAATGCATCAACAATCATATGTAACTTTTCTCCGTTACATCTTATCGAAAGAACAAGCTTCAAATTTGTAGTTCATTTAAAGCGGGAAAAAAAAAAAAAGGGTGTTCTTTCCACCCAATCGTAGGCCGAATTGTTTAGCGATCTTAGAATTCTGATATTTTTAAATTAAAATGTCACTTAAAAAACAGAATGATAACACACAGGATAGATGAGAGAAACTACAAAAAAAAATTCCTCTCTTTAATTTTTTGACGTTTTAAATACTGTTCATCTATTTTTATATCAACTTAATCTTTTGCTTTGTTATCTAAGAATATCCAAATCTAATAAGAAGCTAGAGCTAATAGCTCTGAAAACAAAAATAAATGTGATTTGCATATTAATAATGTGGATCCTAACAAGTCAATGTTCTGATACTTGAAAATAATGTGTGTGTGTGTGTCTCATTTTAAAGAATAATTTTTAAATTTCCATCCATCGTGTAAGCTTATCCTATACTTCGGCTTGGTTGCAAGATTGTTTGGAAGCAATTTCACATTATCTTTGGCGGCATTAATGTCAAAAAAAAAAAAAAAATAGTTATGATACACCCACTTGTCCTATTTACAAATCACTTCCAACATGTCTTAACGGAATTAAAAAAAATCTCAAACCTCATTAACTGTCTTAAAATTTAACAAGTTTTTATCTTTACCTCTAATAAATATTCTTAAATCTCATCACTGGTACTTTTATTTAAAACATTTAATAAGAGTAAAAATATAAAGATGATCATTGAAAATTGACAAATATTCTATAAATAGAAATAATGTTTTTCTTCTCTCTGCCCTACAGCTAGCACTAAAGGAGCACTCAAGTACCTTTTGCCAATCAAACTAAGTTATGTGTGTTCTTTTATCTGTTGCCCTTAAACAAACTCTTGTGATTAGGAATTGTAATTTACTGTAACAAAGTCAGCTAAAAACTATAAAAGTGCTTTATATAGTGCGAAATATTAAAAAAATTAATTATTGACACATTAAATTTATATCATATTTTTTCTCAAAGAATAAAATATTAAGAAAATTAATAAATACCTAAAAGGAAAAAATATTAATTTAGCAGATCCACATATACTTGGGAGCTAACTCATCACATACAATAATATGAAAACAGACTTGTTAAAAATAAATAATTTATTAATTTCCCTCAACACATGAGCTTGGCCGAACATAGACAAGGTTGAATTGAAAGCTTGTTTCACAAGCAAGTTTTATCCGTGGAAGATATGTATTTGCAAAATGGAAGAGGTTGTTACGATCAAATATTATTCAGCTCTGAAATAAAGTCTTATAATCATCAATGATGTCATTGCGTAACAAAAGTTTTTTACTTTTCAGAATATAACCATGCATGCCCATCCAATAATTAATTAATGACAGTGGTAACTAAAAGACATATATATTAATTTTTTTTGGCAAAAGAAAATGCTTTTTTTAGTTCCACTTGTAAAACATCTCCAACCATCTCATTAGAACTAAAGAGCGGTAGTTAAATCATTAACTTTGTTTGAAAATAAAATAAATTCTCAACTTTTTTCATAGTTAAATATAAAATTTTAAAGTCCGCATTACATATTTTTTCTTATAGTTAATTAATTTAAATAAGAATAATATTGAAAAAGCTTAATTAACACTTCATCAAATGTCTTGTAAAGTATCATCAACTTTTTTCGTAATTTGTGTTTTATAATAAAAACTGGAAGGAGTTTAATAACTATGGGGTTTTTTGGTTTTGTGTTATGTCTATATGTTCTTAAAACAGTTGAGAAATTTCTTAGAACAAGTTTTGAAAACAAAAAGTGAAAAAAAGAATATATGATTGAATCATTATTTCAAAAAGCATACTCCTTCCAATAAAAATATAAGGTATTTTTAATCGAATCTCACCCCCCAATAAAATAGTTACCTATTTTTAAATTAATTCAATCTTTTCATATTTACTCATATTAAATACTCTACAATAAATATAAAGTCATCCATCAATAGGGGCACGTTTGGTAAAAAAGGCAATAATTATACCTCAAAAGATTACAATTAATATCCAACTCCTCAAAAACTGCTTTATATTTTTGAATGGAGCAGTAACATTTAGCGCTATGAAATTGTAATTTTAACAAAACTTTTGAAATTGACAGGAATTTTTTTTTTTTGACACAATGCTTCAAATATATTACTGAACCATCCGACTGCACATACAGTAGAACAGCACGTAATAGAGAACCGAATATTTGCTCTTACAATCAATAAATATAATGGAAGTGAGAACCGATTTGGAGGGAAGCTAGAATTGGAAATTCAAATTATTATAACAAACATAGTAATTAACAAAAACATTTAAAAAACGTTAATTATTATAAAAAAAATGAGCATTTGCAATAATATACTTTTTTATTTGATTTGCTAAAAATATTAATTCAGATTTTTCTACGCCAAATATTTTTAAATTTATATCATATATATTGATTTAATTTCTTTATAAAATTTGAATATTTATCATATTCCCTCCAAATCATCAATATCCAGTGGTGCATAATTTTACATAGTTTATTGTTGAAACATAGTAGATATTAATTAAATTTATATATTTAATGTATTTTTTTAATCAAATATGAAAACTTGGATTTTAAATTAAAAAAAGAAAAAAATAGTAATGATTTTATTATTATTTTATTTTTTAAAATTTATAAAAAAAATAAATTAATAATATATATTGATTTCAAAAAGAAAACTTGGTCAAAATTCAAAGGCAGCTTCCGCCCCTACAGTGAACAATTATATTGTGAGGTTAAAATATATAACAAATTTATCTCCACCCATAGTTACTACTATGAAATATTATTTTATGTTAAAAGAAATCCGTGTAACTAAGAAATTCCTTCTTAAACAATTCATTTTTCGTAAATATAAATATACGCTCAAAATATTAATGCTATTGCTAACTAAAAGGATTTGATCAAGAGGAAAATACATGGACCTCCCATCTATAATAGCATAATTGTGGAAATCTTCATTCTATTTTTAAAATTAATATAAACTTCTCTAAGATTATAAGTTTTAAAGTTATTAAAAAAATAGAAGTTTTAAAACACAAACCTCCCTTACTTTTAAAATTCTATTTCCATCCACCATATCATTAATTGATGGCTAAATCACATCATTTGGACCAAAATACCCTAATTTAAGTTTTAAATGCATAAATTGGATAATTTTAAACTTGTATCTCAAAAAATCAGTGAATGGAGAATTTAATATTGTAATTGATAAATTAGTTGATACCATTTATGTTTATTTTAATTTAAATTATGGAGAGTAGAAAATTATATTATGAGGTCAAATTAATAAATTTAAATCTTTAGCATAATTTTCATTAATAAAATTAAGCAATTAAAAATCTTTAACTAAATATTATTAACAATATTAAAATTTTTACTAAAGTTCAGATTTTAAATACAGAAAGAAAATGTCTGACCCAAAAAAAAATACAGGGAGGAAATGCCTGCAATTTTAGCCAAACCGAATGACTATGATAAATTAACTACACCAAGATAAAAGGAGTTTGGAAATAATAGATGTCTTATATCTAACGTGTTACTCCATAACATGATCATAAGAAATGAGAGTAGAGAGAGGACTGACCTGTAAATAAATAATCGAGGCATTTAGATCCTTGCCACTATAGTCTGGATGAGAATTTTGGTGCGTATCAAGAGGATTGGCTGAAACTTGTACAAGCTGAGATGCATTTATATCTCCATGGGAAAAAATTTTCATTCTCGGACACTCATGAACAGTCACAAGTTCCAATGATGGGATGTTAAGAGTACAATTTCCTCCTAGAAAGCTTCCAAGACTATGCAAATCAGAAAGAGACAATGTTTTGAGTTTCCTGAATGTAATTTCATCTGCACCTGATTCATTTCCTCCTTCACCCACTATGTGTTGTATTGATCCACATGAACTTACTGTTAACTCTTCAAGTAAAGTAAAACTTTTTGCCGTTGAGGATGTGAACAAATATTGCAATGCCATGCAATTACTCACATGTAGACCCCTTAAATTTGAGAAAGCCACAGTAGATGGTGCCAAGTTGATCAAACAATCACAATAATCCACTTTCAACATTTCTAGGTGTCTAGGTAGAGGGGTGTGCTCCAGCCCGATTAAATTGAGCTTCGACAGATACAATAATTCTAAAATTTTCAATTCAGCAAAGACCATATCACCATTGCCTTCCATATTTGATATTTCAGAGGTAAATATCTCTTTGAAGTTACCCCCAGACACTTGAAGCTTTTTTACATGGGGTAGTAATTCCTTTTGGAAAAATCCATATGGAAATTTATCATAATCAAAACCATGGAATTTCAATTCCAGAAATTTCACTCTTTGAAGAAGCTTTGCCTTAATCGGGGCTTGCCAAGTATGCAAGATGTTTTCCCCGCTAAGTGAAAGATGCTCAAGGTTGGGAAAAACCTAGAATCAAGAAAATTATGATTAGAAATGAACACTATTGACGGGGTAGATTTAATACTAGTAACATTGCTAGTATTAAGGTGATCAGTATACATCAAATTAAGTGAAAAGGAATTAAAAAAAGTTGTGATGGCAACAATATAATATTACCTTTTCCGCATCAACTGGAAAATGATCTTGACCCAATGCTGGGAAATTCTTTAGCAAACTGCACTGATATACAACCAATTTTTGTAACTTGGGCCATTCCAGAATATTTTGCCCTGAATAGATGCACTTGAGCTTTGGCAATCTGCTTAGCTCCAACATGGTTAAGCTGGGAAATAGAATTGAGTTTGAAGGTGCTCCTCTTGGAGTTGTTTCGTCCTTGGCAACAATTTCTACTAATTCCTCACAATTTTCCACTATTAGATTTTCAACATTTGCAAGTTTGCCTGGTGCAGCCATTGATGCTGGAAATAAGCTCTTGAGCCTTCTACATTCATTAACAGACATACGTTGCAAAGATTGGAAGCTGAGAAATTCATGATTATTCCAAACATTCTCCAGACTAGAGAGACGTTCCAAGGTAAGTGTTTTCAAGAGAAAGGAGAATGGGGAAGACAGGGATCCCACCTCAAATATTGCCTTTACAGAACCACAATTTCGTACTTCTAAAACTTCCAAGTTACAAAGGAAGCCAAGCAAGTGAAAAGGGATCACATTCTTTGATAAGAAATCGCAACTATCCACTGTCAAAGTCTTCAACCGATTGAACCCTCCATCAGGGACTGCCATTTTATCAAGCCATATATCTTCAAGCTCACAATGATCTTTGAGATTCATTTGCTGGACATCACGTGCAAATTGTGCCCGCTGCTCCAACAGAACACCGTGGATACATTAGGCTCTTATATAACACTACTTTGACGTTCATTATAATTATATGTGAAAACAGTAAATAATTAAGGCTGCTTCAAGCTTGTGGGAGAATATATCAACCAATTATCTCTTCTCACTTCCCACTGTTGTCCCCCAACTTTCGCTGAGATTTAAATGAATATTAAACTTGACAAAAAATAAATATTACACAATTTCCCTGTTTTCGTTTTTAACATAAAAATTAATCTTTCCTTTAGAAGAAAATTTAAATACTCACAAGTCTCAGCTTAATTAAATTGATTTTAACCTAAATCTCAATAAATTTACAAATTAATTAATATGTAATGTTCATAACCAATATTAGCATTGCACTAACTCAGATAATAAGGCTGGGGAGAGGGATGTAAGAAGTCAAGGCTCAAGCCCACCCAATGCATCAACAATCATATGTAACTTTTCTCCGTTACATCTTATCGAAAGAACAAGCTTCAAATTTGTAGTTCATTTAAAGCGGGAAAAAAAAAAAGGGTGTTCTTTCCACCCAATCGTAGGCCGAATTGTTTAGGGATCTTAGAATTCTGATATTTTTAAATTAAAATGTCACTTAAAAAACAGAATGATAACACACAGGATAGATAGTAAATAAATTTTTACTTTTATTTAAATGTAACAAGTTGATAAATTCTAAAATAAATTAAGCTGTTTTTACATTTTCTAAAGAAGATAGTATTTATTTGTAATTTTGTTACACCTTAAATATACAAAACTCTCCAAATTTTCAATACAGTTGCACACAGCCACCTTACCTTCAAAAGTTTAAAATTAATCTATTAATAAAAATTAAATATATTAATTTTAAACTTGTAGAGGTGAGAGGAGTCTATCTAGCTATCTCAAAAAGGAGTTTTGTTTATTTTTACATTTTGTTAATACAGTTATTTGCACGAGAAAAAAAAAATTATTCTTTTGTTTCGTTGATATATTTTTTTTATTTGGAATTACCCATACAATTCTATCTTACACAAGACACTATTACTTTTTTGTAAACATATCACTAAAAATATTAATCACATACTGTTCTAGGTAATGTAACTTTCTTTAAAAAAAAATGTCAAGTAAATATTTACTAAATATTTAATTTCGATTATTTTTTGGATACATTGAAAGGTTTTGAACTTTTGACTGATATCAACGTTAAAAATGGTATGTTGACGCGCCCAAACTACTAAAAATTCAACCTAACAAAAGTGAATACAAATGAATATGGAGAGTGAATACTTACCTTCTCGTCAAACAATTTCTGCACTGTTGTGTTGAGATCACTGTAGCTGTGCCAAGCAACTCCGTCCCTTGGAGCTCTTATTCCTACAAAGTAGGGCGCCCTTACTGCTCCTTGAGAGAAACATTTCATCTTCGGGCATTGTTCTATGGTCGCTTCTCTCAGAGCTGAGAATTCTAAAGTGGCATTCCCCGAATAAAAACACACCAGCCTTGGTAACTGACTCATAGTTATAAATGTAAGCCGTTCAAAAATCATCTCTTCTGGAGTTGACTCACCGCTCCCATGATTCACTATTTGTGCTATTGATCTACAATCAGTTATCTCCATTCTTTCAAGTCGCACCAAACTTCTGGCTACTGAAGATGAGAACAGAGAAACTAACCCATGGCATCCCCTTATTTCCAATCGTTTCAAATTGCAAAAGGATACCGCAGATGAAGGCACCAGAATAGTCAAACGAGGACAATCATATATGTCCAGGACTCTCAGATTCTTGTGAAGTGGGTCCACCCAGGAATTATGTAATCCAATGGAGGAGAGCATTGGCAAACAATGCATGGATAATTCTTCCACTTGCGTAAGTATATTGATGACATGATCAATATCTTCAGGTCTTTGGGAGGGGAACATCTCATCCAGTTCATTGAAACTTCTTATACCAAGAGATTCTAAATTAGGCACCTTGTGAAAGAATTTAAAAGGCAGAGTAGCTCCTGCTTCATGGGAATCACCAAAGTACAGACCCAGGTATTTCAGCTTGTGAAGCAGGTCATCAAGAAAATTTTCATGTGATAACATCATCACGTCTTTCCCATTGAGGGTTAATGCGCCCAAGTTCGGAATAACCTATTAGTGAAAATTAAACAGGCAAAAAAAGAACAAGGATAAGGATTGCTTATATAGATATTTTCTTTTCACAACGCAAGAACGAAAAGTGAAGGAATGATGGAAATGAAGATCAAATTACCTTTTCATCCAGGAAAAGAGGTTGCCTGTCAGTTGTAATATCAGCTTCATCCTCACATCCTACTTCTCCTCGATGACTCGGAAAATCTAATGCGAATGCATCCAGCTTATTGCAATCAAACACGTGTAGCCTCTCCAAGTTGGGACACTCGAGAGTATATCTTCCAGGATAAAAAAACTTGAGGCTCGGTAAACCATGCAGATTCAAAGAGGCTAAGTAACGGAATTCAAATTTTCTACTGACTCCATCCGCTTCTGCTTCTTCCTTTCCAAATATTTCTTCCAAGCCATCACATAGGCCTATTTCAAGTTTTTGGAGCCTCACAAGATTTTTTCCCACAGATGCCAGAAAAACAGTTTTTATACCCGTACAGTCAATAACAACCATTTCTTTCAGATTTGGAAAACTTATAGTGCCACAAGGATCTTTGCTCCATATACACTTCAAATTCGGCAAGCTCTTTAAAATCATTCTTCTCAAATGAAAGGGCTTTCCATTTGTTTCTGTCAACCTGTTGCCATCCATATCAAAAATAACCTCCACTGGACTCCAACTTACCTCCAACTCCTCCAAGTTCTTAAAGTAAGGAAGTAAGTTTGAAGGGAACACTTGTGACAGAAAGGAACAATTCTCCACTATCAGTGTTCTTAGATTGTTAAAGCAGTTGTCTGGTGGGAAAACTTTCCCCTGCCATAGCTGCTGCTCTAGCTCAGGATAACAACAAAGTCTCAAATGTTGACAAGATGCAAAAACAACCTGCAAAATCAAATAAATTTTTTACAAAGTTGTTTTTAACTTATATTGAATACTACAAAAGCTACTAGGTGTCTTTTTTAAGTGTAGCATGGCAACTTCTGTCGGTGAGATAAATAAGAAATAACAATAGAGAAGTCTATGGTATAAAAATAAAAAAGCTAAGGATGTTAATTCTAAGTAATAAGAAAACAATTTTTTATCACTAATAAAATCATTTAAATGCCCTTAGGCTAGTCCCTATATTTTAGAAAATAAAATTACAAAAGGAGTAAAACTATTTTAAATTCTAATATTCACAATCTTTACAAAGATTAAAAGTTTAAGTAATTAGAGAAATATTAATACTTAATTTTAACATAATTTTAATCTTTATAAATTTATTTTATTAAATATAGTTATCAATATTTTAAATGGATTAAAATTATAGGTATTGAGTTGTATCAAGTCAAAATTTAGGAATTGAATTACAGCTGAATCAAAACTATAAGAATTGATTTATAACGAGTTAATTTAAGAACTATATTATAATAAAATCAAAACTACGAGGACTAAATGATTAAATAAATAGAAATAATGAATTAATTCTTTACATTTTTAATATGCACAGGCCACAGACATAAATTTTTTTTTTTAAATAAGCCCGGGTAACAAATTCTAAAACAAGTTGTATGAGAATATAACAGAAAAGTTGATGTTCTCAATATGCATGGACAAAACAACACATTCTAAAATAATTTATATAAAAGATACAGCAAATTTTTATTTCTATTATTAATAAATATGCACGGCTATAAGATTCTAAAATAAACTAAGTTATTTATACAGTCTCAAAGAAACAAATTTTCAAATAAAAAATACATTTTAAATTTAAATTTGTATTGGTATAACCATTTATAGACTACAATAAATTGTTGTCTATTTTGGATATATCTCGTGACAAAATCTAAAATATAATAAATTGTTTATTTTTATCTTCTAAGTTCTAATCACTAAAAACACCTCTGCATCAGATATGGTCAAGTCCATTAAACAACAGAAAGGTTTGTTGATGTTGCTGGTTCATAAAAAAAACTACTCCCTTCATTATTTTAAATTGATGATTCCAAAAAACAGTAAAAAAACAAAACACAGCTTTTTTAAAACAGATGAAATTTTGTTAAAGATTAAAAAATAATAATTTTTACATAGTTTAAAAATTTTATAAAAAGAGATTTATTTTGTAGAGATTTTATAAGAAAAAATATTATTTTATGTTTGAATACAATAATAAAAAAGTAATTATTAATGAGTTATTTTTTAATTTTATGATATATTTCTTGATTTTTGTTTTATAAAAAAGATTTATCATGATATTATTTTAAAATTATATAACATATCTTGTCTCTTTAAAACACTCTCCATCATCTGTCGCATTAGATTATTTTCAAAAGCTAAACAAAGTAACTTCTTAAAATAATCAAAAATCTACTTTTTTATATTCTGATTATTTTTAAAAGTTTAAAAAATTATAATAAAAACTCACAAAATAATTGTTTTCAAAAAATAAGTGATTTTTTCATAAAATAAGCTATAATAAATGGGCCCCTAATACCTTTCATTTATATACAGTGTTCAAATAATATAACAAAATAAATTTTCTTTATTTTGATAATTTAAAATTATAGAACATTTTTCCACCGAAAAATAAAAGTATTCAGAAAATCAATGAACATTTAAAACTGAAATACACACACACACACACACACACACATATCTCAAATATATGTATTTTTTTCAGCCAGAACAAATACATGTATTTTCTTTCCCACATAAAAACCATTTTCTCCAATGTTAGAAAACTTGCTAGTTTTAAACTACGATGTCTTGAAGAAGAAGAAGAAGGTAGTTTAACTTAAGAATGGTAATAGCGTGACAAATACAGTGGGCCCACTTGTTTCGTACCCAAATCATGCCCTTCTGACACATATATACCATTAAGACAAAAGGATCATAAAGGGTTACGATGATGCACACAAACCACTAAAAATTCCAGCTACCAAAAGTAAATCTGGAAAAGTGAATATTTAATTAGATAAGACTTATACATTTAATTTCATATACTTAACATACTTATATTTAATTAAATCATGACATATGAATAGTATTTTATTAATATAATCAATAACAAAAATTTATTATAAAACAAATAATTTATAAAAAATTCACATATCTTGATTTAATTGTATACAAATATTTTAAATATACAAAATTAAATATACAAGTTTTCTCCTATTTAAATTTCACCTATCATAGAGTGTAGTCTAAATTTTAATTGCCATTAGGCTATTCTAAATAAAGTAATAGGAAAACAATTTTTTTCCCTGAAAAAGATCTTCTCCTTCACTTGGATAATTGATCATAATATTTTTTAAAACACGGCGATAACTTTGAAAATCACTGTGTGTGTGTGTTTTGATGATGAATTGGGTATGTATTTGAGAGAGTGCGTTGATTGTATATATAAGGGGAAAAGTAACAAAATAGAAGAGTATAATATATTGTATCAAGAAAGAAAAAACAAGAAGAGTATAGTATAGAATTTTTATCTAGAAATCAAAATTAAGTTTATTAACTTTAATGTACAAGAAATTAGCACGTACCTTGTCCGAAAATTTAACAGGTTCTAATTCTTGCTTTTCCAATCGTTGTAGAGCATTTTCCCAAGCATCTTTGTCCTTGTTAATCTTTAAAGCTTTTCCAACAGCAACTATTGCCAAGGGCAAATTCGCACATTTCTGAACAATTTTAGTTGATAATAATTTCAACTCATAATCTTCATTAGTTATTCCAGCCACCTTGTTGAACAGCTCCTCTGATTCCTCTTGCTTCATGACATCCACAGTAAAAATTGAATCCTTTACTCCCATTTCACTTGACAACACGTCTCTGCTTCGAGAAGTCAACAAAATCTTGTAGCCTTTGGAATCACTTTCCATTTTGTCATCTGTCATCTGGTTGTGACCAACATTAGGCATCTCACCTGCCATTTTGTCGTCTGTCATCTGGTTGTGGCCAACATTAGGCATCTCTCTGACTCTCATTTGGCCGGGATCATCATCTTCAGACAGAATCCCCAACATACTCAAGTCAAATCTAGCCCAAAGATCATCCAAGATGACCAGGGTGTTCTCCTTCTCCTTCTTCAGTCTCTGTCGCAAACGACCTGCTCTTCCAATCTCGGTCTCATCATCCAATGTCAAGCCCAACATGGCTGCCATTTCTCCTTGAACCTTTCTTACATTGGGAGTGCTTGTTATATTGACCATGACCACAACATTGAATAGCTTTTCTGCTTTAGCTTCCCTTCCAATTGCTTTCACTAAACTGGTTTTGCCAACACCTCCCTGTCCCGAGATACCGATCATTTTAATTGCAGGATTTCTCAATGCTCGCATAACATCCTCCAGAATGGCATCTCTTGATTTAAATGGCTCATAATCCTCATCAGAGAGGGCAACATTTGATGCTTCTAGATCTGGACGATATTCATCAGGCTTTAGCTGTTGCTGCAGATTAGTGCACAGCTTCTTTGCTTTTCTGCCAAGCTTATGCCTTAACCTCAAGTTATTAGGAAAGCAACCATTGCGGAACCCCGTCTTTCGGTGGCCTTCATCTCTTTTAAACTCCTCTACTTCTCTAATTAGCTTATCCATCTCCTCCAACCGTTTAACTTCATCGGGAATGTCCTCCCCCTTTCCTTCAGCAGTCCGAACTCGATTTTCCAATGTCTGTTTCCGACCTTGGAGCGCCTCTGCACAACGATCCAGCTCCTGAACGTTGTCTCTGTAGTAGTAAAGGTAACCCAGTTGTCGAATAACTGGTTCTACCATGACATCTAACACTTTTCGAGTAACTGGTTTTACCACGAAATCTAACACTTTCACGAAAATGGCTGCTACAAACTCCATTCTTCTCTCTCTCTCTCTCTCTCTCTCTCTCTCTCTTTTTTGGTTTTCTCTGTTTTTTTTTTTTTTGTATTTTCTTCGAAGACAGGAAAACAAGGATGAACTAGAACACCAACAGAAGGAATGCCGTGGTTTTGAAATCGTGACTGAAGTGCAGTCCTACTACCAAGCAAGAACTACACAGAAGACAAATACAAAGGGATGATCACCACAGAGTGCGTGGAAAAAATAAACTAAATGAATAAATGAAAGCAAGTATGTAATACTTGTTCAGAAAGTAAGGATCAAAGAGAAATATAAAAGACCTTTTTAGGAGACTGCTAGTTGTAACGTCCCTCTGGTCTTGAGGCTACAGCGGAGGAGGGAAGGCTTCAAGGCTCTCAAGCATCTAATTTTGAAGGAAGATCGTAAAATTGTCGCCGGTTTCTGGTAGTGCAATGAACAAAACAATTCCTCACATGGAAATGCGTAACTTTCTGACTTGTCACAGTGAGAGATGTGACGGAAGAACAGTGAAAAAGAGACATGCATTGAAATCTTTTTTTTTTTTATTCATTGTGATTTTAATTGTTATAATCTAAGTTCCCATCTTTTTTTCATTTTTAAAAAAAATAAATAAAAAAATTCAGACTTCGACTAATATTTCTTTAATTTTATGTGTCACGTTTAATTATTTCATAAAAATTAAGTTGAGATGATAAAAATATTAATATTTTTTTAGAAAATAATTTTAATTTACTCTTATTAAATATATATTTTTCAAAAAAAATAAATTTTCTTTTATGTACAATATTTGCTGTTATATGTCAATCCCAATCAGGTTAAAAATTGACCCAAGTATCCAAATAAAAAAATAAATTTTCTACAATATATATACAATATAATAAAGATTAATGATTTCTTTAAATTTTATATCATTTTATACTCAAATACTATATATTTGACATCATTGTTATAATTAATTTTTTAAAAAAATTAAAAATATTTATATTTTCAAATTTTGATTATTTGTAATCAATAAAATATCTCAATAAAATTTAAAATATATTCTAATATTGATTTTTTTATTTTAAAGCTCAATTTTTAAAAAAAAAATTGGGTCTCATACATCATTTGTGTACCAAAAAATATATTTTTTGATAAAAGTATTAAGTTTAAAGCAAAAATAAAATTTATGCATCTACGAATTCTCAATTCTACTATTAAATAAACATAATAAATAGAATAATATTTTTAGGTAATTATTTAATTATCATTCACACTAAAATTAGTTAAAAATTAAATATAAATTAGAGTAAAAATTTCCTTACATTGAAAAAAAGTTAAAGGAAAAAGAAAATTTCAAAAAAATAATTTTTCCCCATAATTAAATAATTCTTCTATAATATAATAATGACTATTTTTTTATATTTTTAAAAATAAAAATATAATTTATTCAAAAGTTATTAAAAACACAATAATTTTAAATTAATAATATAATTATTGTTGAATTGAGATCAATTTAATCATAATTAAAGTAATATAATTTAATTAAAATATATAAAATATTTATATGTAATCATGATAAAAATCATATTTAAAAAACTAAAACATTAATTTATAAATAAAAAATATACATGAATAAATTATACATAATATAAAGAAATAGTAATAGAGTTATTTAAATACAAAGTTAATAAATTATTATTTTTTATTTTATTCTTTTAAAATTAATATAATATTTTATGCTTAACAAAATTATTTAAAAATTAAAATTAATTTACAAATATTTTTAAAAAATTTAGAATATTCGAATGTGAGCGAATAAGGCCAAAGGAATTGAGATAAGGCATTATATGGGCTATTTAAAAATGACATGATACTTTAAATTCAATCTAAATAAACTCAACCCGAAGTAAACCTAACCTAAATAAGTCCGTCTCACCTGAATTACCGACTCTATTATCTATGATGACCTCATCTAGGATGACCAAGGTAATTTGATCAAGAACTTTTTAAAATACCTTCTCTGTCCCTACCCCCATCAACCATTACATCATTGTTGAACTAATGGATATTTTTGAAAAAATCAAAATCTAGAATGACAAGTTTAATAAAATTTACATTTATTTTGACTCCTCTAAAACCTTGATGCTTATCCAACATTAATTCTCTAATAACCAAACTCTCATTAAAATTATCAAAAAAAATCAAAAAATTTACTATAAGAGTCTGAATAATCACATTGAATCATATTTTCAAAAAGGCAAATTAAATAAATGCGTTAATTCACTTATACATCAAGTTTTAAATGATAATTTAAATGCTAGAATTTTTGTGAAAAAACTTTTGTCGGTATGTTCAATCGATCGTAGTTACCCATATTTCTTATCTTGACGGCATGTTCAATGTGTCATGTAAATGGTCATCCCAACAACCAAAAAAAAAAATTATTTTTTTAATAACCCTAATATTATCATAACAAGATCTGGTGGGCTTTTATTTATTCACTAAAATGTTACAAACAAGATGGATTTTAATAAGATTGCGTTATATGGTTGGTTGAGTGCTTAAATGACCAAAATCTAGGTTCCAAAATCAAAAACTGGTTGAACCTGTTTTTTCCCCAAGTTTGGATTACTTTTCACTCAAATCGTGCTCACTTTTCAAACTTAAATATATTTGCTCAAATGGTGTTTACTCAACATCAAAATCAAAATGTTGGCCAAAAAACTACATCAAATTAAAATATTTCCCCTGCAACCGTCAAGTATGCTCTCTCTCTCTCTCCCCCATCCTTGCTCTTTTTTTTTTTTTTTATTTCATGAGAAATTTGGAGTATTAGCATTACCTGTTTAGATTAATTTGAACTCCCATTATATGAGATCACTATTATCGACAATCATCTCATAGGTATTTTGAAAATATTTGTGATATTTTCATTTAATATGATTATATATTTCAAGATTTAAATTTGAGTTTTTAAAATAAGTTAATTCAATACTTTTAACTAATTGAATCAAACGCTCTTCATTTCAACTTTGCTTTTCCTCACTTGTGCCTTCATCCTTGCTCTGTATTCCCATTCATTCCTAACATGTCACCATTTAATGGCTTTTAAAATTCCAAAGTTTAAAAGGAAAATTTCAATTGAGAGAATCAAGTTTTCTTAACCAATTTTTGAACAATATTGTGGAGTAAAATGCTCATATTTAATTTAATCACAAACACACTAACTTTCAAAAAAATTGGTAACTAAGTCAGAAAAACTAGACATTAAAGAGATGGGAGGGGAAAATATTTGGAAACAAAAAATATCCATTTTGTTACCTCTCCATTTTTTTAAGTCATTTCCACACCCCCACACACACACACACACACAGAGTATACGTGAGAAAGTAAAGATGAACGAGCAAGAGAAATAACTTGTAAGGAGAGAATGGTGGTTTGGTCCGACTTGTAGATAGGAAGATAGCAAACAAAGCATGAATGAGTTTTAAAAATAACCAAACTAAGATTTGAATTTCCAAACCTCAGTTAGGATCTTATCCAAACATACCTTTAAGCATGAATGATGGTTATGTCTTCCTTGCTACGGAGATAGATGTCATAACTTAAAATAATAATTAATGAAAATTAAACTTAAAATTCCAAAAATATAAAAATTTCAATTTAAAGAATCAGGTTTTTTTAACTAATTTTTGTAAAATATTATGGATTAAAATGTTCATATTTGATTTAATCCAAAACACACTAACTTTCCAAAAAAAAATAGAAACTAAGTCAGAAAAACTACACATTTTAGATACCAAGAATGGAAGAGGAAAATATTTGGAAACAAAAATTATCCATTTTGTAGTCTTTCATTAACTAAAATGTTGTGTTAATTTGACTAAAGATTCATATTTTAACTCTCCAATTTTTAAAGTTATTTTCAGAGAGTATTTTTCAACGCGGAGAAGACAGTGAGAAAAGCAAGAAATATAGCTGATTTAAAGAAAAGAAAAGAAAAACAAGCAATGCAGATGTTAAGAAAATTAAAGAAAGATGAGAGAGAAATAGAAAGACCTTGCTTTGCGAGGAGATTGGTGATTACTGATTACAGCTGATTTGGTCTGACTTGCAGCTAGCAGCGTCCCACTGGTTTTGGGGCTACAATGAAGGGAAGACTTGCTCGTCGTAGTACAATGAACAAAACAAATCACCTACGTAGAGAACTCCTTTTTTTTTTGTCTTTTTTCTTTTGGGATTTTCTTCTAGTAAAATAGAACAGCTTTTTTCTTAGGCAGGAAAAGTAAAGACAGAACAAAGATGAATGAGAAAGAGAACGGCAAGATCTTTTGAGTCTGTCGATGAAACAAAGGATGGAACAAAGGGATGATCGATGCAAAGGACCACACGGAATTTAGGAACGCCGTGGTCTTGAAATGGTGAGGGAGTGAAGTGACTGAGCAAGAACTACACAGAAGGAAAATACAGAGGGATGATTAACACACAAAGAAGGCAGTGATAATGAAAGCAAGTAATATAATAGAGATATGTTGAGAAAGTAAAGATAAGAGAGAAATAGAAAGACCTTGCCTCGGGAGAGAATGGTGGTTCAGTCCGATTTCCAGATGTTGACCCTACAGCAGAGGGAAGACTTCAAGCATCTAATTGTTGGGGTGGAAGCACGGTGTAGAAAATATAACTAGGAAAAGAAATTTTTAAAAACAAATACAAAAATGGTCGGAAAATATCTTAATAACTGTGATAAACTTGCCACCAAATTGTTAAACTCACGGTTTAAACTCATGATAAAAAAAATAAACCCATGTTACAAACTCATACTTTAAATTCATAAAAATTTATCTCTATTAATAAATAATTATAAAAATATAATTGTAATTTAATTAAAGATATTAAAAATATAAATTATTAAAATTAAACCTATTTATATTTATAATTATCATATACAAGATATGAAAATTTAAAAATAGAAAAATTTATTTTTAGTATTTTTGTTTTCTTTTTTTATTAATATTAGTTTTTCCATATTAAGTTTTTTTTTTTGTATGAACCAGGTCTTATAACTTTTATGAATTGAATCCTTCATGGTATATACTTAGCTCACTCAACTAAAAAAATAACAAGCTTAACAAGTTTAACGAAACTTATATCTAATCTGGGTTTATGAAATAGTTAACACGATTTTATAAGTTAGAAACATAAAAATGATAAATTAGAAGGTAAACTCATAAGTTTAACAGAGTTTGTATTTAATCTTAATTTATAAGTAAGTTGACACAATTTTATAAGTTAAAAATATAAAGATGTTAAACTCATAAAGTTAACTCAAGAGTTTGATACCTATACTTGTCACCATGTACTTCTCAGTGGGTAAATTTCATAATCTTACTTACATTATTGCAACTCTCAGACTTTATTTGAATAGAAAAATTGTTTAGGGAAAAAAGAAAATTAAAAATAAAATAATAAATTTATAAGTTTTTCTTTTAATTTATCTTCTTTTGTATTTTATGCTCCTTCAAACTAATAGTTCTTGAAACCCCATAAATAAAAGTCATGGGCTACACATTTTGCACACCTCAAAATAAACTAGAAATCTCCTCTATTTTCTTTATACCTTTTATTTGGCTTCCATTACATTTTTTTTTTATTTTAGTTTCAGTAAAAGACCTTTTTTGGCCAAAAGTAACAGTACGTGTTCTCTATTTATTATGGTTTTTTTTTTGTCACCTCTATTTATTATGGTTATTGCATCTGTCATGGTCTTAAACGGACAAAAGAAAGGTAAGAGGTGGTGTGATCCACCTTGCACTCTCGCAGCGGGCGTCACGCCAATTCCATAATATATTCAGCCTGACTTGAATACTTAAATTAATAAATTATTTTTAAAAAAATTTAACATTTAACTTAAAATTAATTATTATAGAAAAATGATAAAAATTTTTTGAAATATATAAATAATAATTTAATCTCTTAAACTATCATAATTCTCATAAAATTTTTAAGAACTTTTTTATCATTAATGAATTTTTATAAATTATTAAATTACTCTTATTGAAAATAAATGATTTACAACCTTTCTTCTAAAATTTGTAACAATACAATAGCAAATCACAACTTTACATGTTAAATTTATATAAATTTATTAATGATAAAAAAGTTTCTAAAAATTTTAGAAGAATTATGATATTTTGAGGGATCAAATTGTCATTTATATTTCAGAGAAAATTTTTTTTATAATTTTTTGTTATTATATTATTATAAAAATATAAAATATAATTTTTATATAATATTTTAAAAAATTAAAGTGTTATTTGATTATTTGGACTGAGGCTCGGGTCTAATTTTTTCATTCAGCCCACCTCAAATAAACCTCAAACATTAAAAAACTATTATTTTACTAAAACTGACCCAACATTTTTTATTTATTTATTTTAGCTAATCCAAATTACTGACTTTTACTGCAAATATACAATAAGAGGGTTAATTATCCGAATTGCCGGCTTCCTAAATTTTTGCTAGCATTTCTAGCAATACAAAGAGCACGAAAATTGGCTTCTCTGAAGTTGAAACAAATAGATACAGTACATGCCAATTTCTAAACAAATTAAACGATGACACGTAATCGATGACACGTCTGTAAGGACGAGGGTCGTCCCTACTTCCGTAGATGAGTTTTAATTCTTTGATAACTTGTAGCTCAGCAGAGTTGGTGCTCGTACATAACTGCAGTCAATTCTGATCTAATATAAGAAATCTAATGTCCCAAACAAGCCCAATTGAACGAGACTGACCTTTAAAATTATAGGCTCAGGATACTCGAAACTTTAATCTCGTTTTTTCTGTATCGTTTTTCTTCAACATTTTTTTGTCAGAGTTTTTCTTTAACTTTTTGAATGTTACCATGTATAAAAATTAACTTTATTAATCAAAAAATGACAAAAATGACTAATAATTATCAAAGACAAAACTATATATGTAATTTTTTATTGGTTAATATGCGTTGAGTAATTATGAAAGACAAAACTGAAAAATGATTTTTTTTATGGGAGTTAGAAAAAAAAACAGACTTTCTTGGCATGCGTAATGGATAATTATATTTTAAGTGTCTCATATTATTGTAACAATATAAATAAACATTTATATTGTTTTTTTAATACCAGCAAACATTTATATTGTTAGAGAAGTAATATTTACATGGGAAAATCATAATGAAGGACCACTAAAGACAATTAATTATGCTACAGGATCAAAGAAGTTAAACGTAATTAAAATTTTTATGACAACACAAACTACTACTCATATGTATATATACTCTTTTAAACAATAATTCTCCATTTCAAAAAAAGTAAGTTTTATTTTTATTTTTATTTGGTGGTAGATAGGAATAAGTGTTATAATTTAGTAAACGAGTTTCCATTCAAAAAAAAAAGATTCCTATTTTTACTTTAACAATAATTAATTTTTATTTTATTAACAGCTCTAAAAAATAATTTAGTAGTAGAAAAGAATAAGTATTGTGATTTGGTAAACAAATATTTATTTAGAAAAGAAAACAAGTTTTATTTTTGTTATAACAATAATCAATTTCTTGATTAATAATTACAAAATATTAATTTTTATTTTGAAGAGAATTATTATAATGTGATGAATGAGTCTTCATTAAAAAAAAAGAAATTCATTTTATATTTCAATAACAATCATTTCTCCTATCACAATAAACATACATCAAAGATAATTTTATTTTTTTATAATAAATTTTAATTATATTTAAATCTTTTAATTTTATAAAGTAATATTAAAATTATTTGATTCTGCAATATAAAGAGGAGAGGGATGGGTCCAGACCTCAGAATAATGCAGCGTGCCTTTGGTTCACGTGAATATAATTGACAGAAAAGTATGCTTACTCATGGAGTTTTGGACTCTGGTATAAATGAAAATCCTAGGTCGTCGCAATGATATGTCAGTGCGCTAGTCATATCACATCAACTCTGCTTTTCTCAAGTGCACCCTGAACGAATTCACATGGGACTGGGGCCTTACTTGTTGAAGAATGATAATTCCGTCAAAATGACTGAGATTTCGTTTGGATTTTAGTGACATATAATTAATTATATTATAATATAATTTTTGTTTTAACATTATTTTTTTAAAATTAATTTAAAAATTAAAAATATTTAAATTATTTAGTCAGAATCAATTTTATTTAAATAAATTATTATAAAAAATATTATTTTTAAAATTAAATTACTGATAAAGTTATATATAATATTATTAAATTTATTAAACTTCATTTAAAAAGTAAAATATATTATTTAACTTATATATCAGATTAATTATATAAATTTAAATTATATTAATATTAACAATTTAATTTATATAAACAAATAATTTAATATATTTAAGTTCAAATAACTTTAATAAAAGGGAAAGATATAATTATTAAATATTACACATTAATTTTATAATAACTAATGAAGATGATAATATACAAGCTGATCTAATAATATTATGGATATTAGTCATATCTAATGAAAATGTTATGAATATTAATAAGGGTGAATATTCATCAATGTGCTATTTTTTTCATGCTCTATTTGATTTTTACTTTCATAATATATAAAATTAAAATCAGAATCAAGCAGGTTAAAGACTTACTAATTTGAACAAAGTTTTTTGTTGAAATTTTAAAATTTAAATTCAAACAATGGAAAAATAGATATAGAAGAACTATAAATAAAATAATTGGATAAAATGAAAGGTAAAAGCAAGTCGCCGGCGGATCAGTCGCTCCCAGCGCTCCACTCTCATCCGCTCATACACTTTCCAGCAGTTGCAATAATTGAATCCCTGGAGCACCCACCTCACAGCTTCTTTCTAAACGTGATTAAGGCGTCAATAATTTTAAAAGTGCTTATTTATTAGTAAAAAAATAAAAACAAAAAAACAAAAAACCCCCCTTAAGGAGTTCTTATTCCTTAAGCGCCCCTAAAGGTCTTTAATATTTTTTTTTAAATAAAAATTTGTACCAGTTTCATATCTCATGAAAACATCGCCTCTCATTGTCAGACTTACTCTTTCGAGAGCTCTAAATTCAAAAGCTCTCACTCTTGCTGTCGACCTCTTGATCGAATCATGTCATCATAATCAGTTGACGTTCAGCCCGTTGATTATGGGAGCACTTTTGAAGCGCTCCCATTAGCCAAAATTAAGCACTCCCATAAACTGTATTTGTAGTAATGAAGGTAGAAATAAATTCCACTTGATTGCTGTGAATATTTCTACTGTAAGGTGGAAATATTATAGCGTGTGTAACGTGTATGTACTGATCGACGTGAGAAAATCAGCAACGTAGAGTTGTAATTATTGCATAAATCAATATACATGCATACATATATATAAAATATGGATGTAGATGTTAGTGTTATAATTTGTTATATAAAAAATTATGTTTAATGATCATTGGCTTTAACGAGAAATATTTCCTTGTTACACTATATCGGTTAAAAAAAAAAAAAAAGACTGTGTGTGGGTGTGTCGAAACAGTAGCTACAAATTGCATGTATGTTGTCCCAATAGTTAAACCCATTTCTCCCCTTTAAAATTCTACTTTCTTCCAAACTGGTGTTTTATTTTCTTAATTCATAATTAAGGATACATCAT